GGTTCCGGGTCATCAAGCGTGGCAATGACATCCTTACCTCGGATACGGGTCAAAACCACAGGCTCAGTGGTCCGCCTCGACTCGTCAACCTCCACGTCTCCATCAGCTTCAGCACGGTGGCGCGACTTGCGGCGTGAGCGGCGAGATCTTCGTGGTGTGGAACGTGGTGCCGGTGGTGATGTCGTCGTGGGAGCCTGAACAGTCGGTGTCTTCACATCGGATTTCTCCTCCAACGCGCGGATGTTCTGCACATGCCTCGTGACGATCACCTTGTTCTCCGAAGGCAGGTACACCTTGTACCCCTTGGTCGATCCGTCCTTGCCGACGACGACGCCCTCACACGCCCTCTTCTTCATGGCGCGCTTTCCAGGGTCACGAAACACCGAGCACTTTGATCCAAACATGACAATGTCGCGAAGGTTTGGTGCTTCGCCAGTCAGCACTTCGAGTGGCGACTTCCGATCCTCGTTAGCGCGTGACGAGCTCCGGTTCAGCACGTACGTCGCGTACTCAGCCGCGTCACCCCAAAAGTTCAGCGGCAATCCTGCACCGAACACCATGCAACGAGCCATGTTGAGAACCGTGCGATGCATCCGCTCCGCCTTGCCGTTTGCAGCTTGATTTCCGACTTCTGACACCTGACGAGTCACTCCGTTTTCTTTGCAGAAGAGATCCACGTTTCGGTACTCTCTCCACCGTCCGTGCGGAGAACATGCACGCGAACGTCGAACCCTTTTTCGTGTGTATGAAATCAGGTTCTGCGCGAGTTTCGGGGCGTAGTAGACCTCACTGAGCTCCACCTCAGCCGCGACTCCGTCGACAATAGCTCTCAAAATCCCCGATCCTTTCTTGGCTACGTCCATTGTTCGACCGTCCGGTAACATGCAGGTGTCCTCATCAGAGCACTGCACTACGTTAGCCAGTAGCGCAGGATCATTGACAAGATGTCGGCTGGCACCGCTGTCCAGAATCAAGCTCGTAGTGTCCACGGACTTGAAGTCGCTACCGGCGGCAAGTGCAAACTTTACTGGCTGGTCCTTGTTGCTTCCAGCGGAACGATCCGAGCAGCTCTTCTTCAGGTGTCCAACCTTCTTGCACTTGTGACATCGCCACGCTTCCTCTTGGGACTCAGCCACTGCGTTAACGACTTCCTTACCAAGATGCTTTGGCGCTCGATCTTCATCAGTCATCATCTGCGCCCAAACGACCAGCTCGTTCGCTTGTTGGAGAGGATCCGGTCGCGTGATGTCACACTTGGCCATCAAGGCGTGCCTCAAGTCCGGATCCGCGTACTTGACGATGTTCTCCAGCACTAGCGTTGGTGACGCGTTCGTTGCCATCATGAGAGCATTCAAGTACAAGAAGTGCTCCTTCCACGATCGCGACGGGTCCTTCTTCGCGCTAAAGAGCTTCATTCCTGGTTGCGTCGAGAGCTCCCGCTTGAACGACAAGTGCATCTGATCCATCACAAACCAAATCGTCGGCTGCGTGGCCCACCAGCACATGATGTGCTGCTGGAAGAAGAGCTCAGCTTTACCACGTAGATGCTGGCCGAACTTGTTCACCTTGTAGCGCTCAGGCCAGGCGTAACCACACGCCTGCTCCGCCATCTCGATCTGATCAATGAACAGCAGCGCCCACTGCTCGAAGCCGCTCCCAAGTCCCTTGTAGACCTCGTTGCCGTCGAAGTTTCTCATGAAGATCTTTGCATCCTTGGCAGGCGGCACTCTCTTGTTAAGATGCAGCGGCGAAGGTCGATGTGCTTGGTACTGCGCAGCTGGTTGCTGCTGCTGTGGGGCCTGTTGAGCTGCTTCTTGGGCCTGGAACGGTGTGCCTCCTGCTTGTTGCCCAGCACCAAGACCACCATAAACCCCAGGCGTCTGCGCACCCATGCCGAAGTTCGAGGCGCCGAGCTCATGCAGCTGCATGCGCTGCATGCCCAAGCTGCCTCCGTGCTGCAGTGCCTGACGGTACACACTCTGGCCCAGCCCAGCCCCCCGCACCGGGTGGCGTGACGGCCGCACGCTGCTGGTGCGTCTCCAGCGACCGCTCTAAGCTGTCCACTTTGGCCGTGAGCTTAGTGATGAGAGCCCGCGAGCGCTCCAGCGTCCGGCGTGACCTTCTCTTCGTGATGCTCTTCGCCCCTTTCGTGGGCGGCGGGGGAGGCGGGGACTGCCTCCGTAGCGGCGTCTGCGTCTGAGTTGTTGACCATTGGGCTCATAACCTGTTGGTTTGGCACTTGCTCGGCAGAAGGTAGAAGTGAAAGTGAGAAATATATTCAAAGGAGTTTTTAGTTGGATTCTACATGCACACTACACAATAACCTGAAAAGACACGCGCCTACACTCGCTCTGATTGGTCCCAATAGTGAAATTAAGTCAAAATGTCTTACCTTCAACATTTTCGACTCGACACTTGCGTAAAGGTCCTTGGGGGTCTGGCTTCCGGTCGCCTGTCCGTTGGCTGGCTCTTACATCAATGTCCAACAGTTCCGGGTTTAGTTGCGAGCACTGTCACGATCGTCATTGTAGAAGCCGCTGGAAGTAAACCCATGAAAGAGCTGGTCTACTATCAAAAGTGCGGGGCTAGCATTCGTAAAGAGTGCAGTGATTATTGCTGTGAGGTGCTGGACAAAATCGACGATATCTATGACATGAATGATCTCCCGCTTCCATTTATTTGTGTTGAAGTGTCGTCTGGCATGGGAAAATCGCAGCTCGCTTTCACGCTGCAAGGCTCACGACTGTGGTTTTACTGGTATGCCACCAGGGTAACTGACGCGTCACAGACCATGTACAGGGATTTTAAGCCGATATCGGAGGCATTTAGCAAGGTTGTGGAAATGGATGACCCAGTCGCCAAGCCGATGGAGGACATTTTGAACTGCCAATCAGGGATTACCAGACCGTGGACCTGTGGACGTGTGGTTTTATTTTCTGCTTGCTGAATTACTCCAAGCATCAGAGCGCACAAATGATACACCTCGAGCAGAAAATCGAATTCCGCGTAGAAATGCGCACCGCGCAAGATGTCTATAACGAGGTAAAAAAGATGAAGGAGGAGAATGGAAAGCAGTTGCCCTTTTTCATATTGGATGAAATAACACCCAACGCCAGGGCATCTGTTGGAGGAAAGAGTGTGGCAGCTTTTCAACGCAATATCTTCCGCACTTGTGGTTTGGTGGTGATTGTTATGGGAACGGATTCAAAAATAAGCAATCTGGTTACACAAGCAACAGGCAGCTCCACGGGAAAGCACATGTGGATGTCCATTGTTCCCAAATTTCCTCCCTATCGATTTGTGTTCGATTCAAAGGATCAGCGAGATCAAGAGGTCTGGGAGGCGGCTGTAGATCGATCGTGTTGTAGAATATATTGCGGTAAATT